TTATTATTATTATTATTATTATTATTATTATTATTATTATTCTTTATTGTCCTACTTGATCCTATTCTATTTTTTTCTTTATTCACATATTATTCAATTTTTATTATAACATATGAATTACATTTCTTTATAATAATTCTTAATTTCTCAATGTGTAGATCGTGACAAAACTTTTTCAGCCTGCATCTCAAACGTATATATATATACGGTTTTACATATAATACACTTTTCACCATTTACTGAAAGTTTTTAGAATTACGTATGTAAAATCACCCATACATACATGCTATACATAATATACTAACATAGATACTATTAAAAATACCGAGTTGTTCGTATTTGATTGTATATATATGTACTAATTACGCTTTTTTAAGAATTGTTGAATCATGATCGCAATGAAATTCGATTTGATTCGAATAATCGAAAGTTTTACAAAACTATTCTTAAAAGCGATCGATAACGCTTATCACATGTACCTTCTATTATTGTATATACATACGTCCTCTCGTTATAGCCATACAAATTATAACTCGTAACAAATTTTTTTCATATATGTCAAAATTTGTGTATAAAAAAAAAAGGTAAAAAAGAAATGAGTAAAGAATTCGAAAAACGGGAGTACAGTTTTCATGAAAATGGTGCCAAAGTGCGTATTAAATATTCGCCTTAGATCTTAAGAGTCGATTATATTATGTAAAATAATAATATTAATAATAATAATAATAGTAGTAGAAACAAACGAGGAAGAGAAACTGAAGACAAAGATGAATAATTAAAAGGAAAAAAAAAGAAGTGGAACGTATATTAGAAACTCAGATGATCGTGTAATATTAACGTAAGCAAAAATATCTTACACAATTAGTACTTAAAAATATTAATAGTAATTACGAAAGAGAGCCTATCGAGACAAAAAGAAATGGAAAAAAAAAAAGAAATCGAGTCCGGTCGGAATAAATAGAATATCGCTGACAAATAAATGAAGAATCATATGAAAAAAAAGAAAAAAAAACAAATCTTTGCATAAATACAAACATATTATAAATAAATACACATCTTCTACATAATGAAACGACTGCTATTTAAGATTTTTCGACTTCAAATCCGGTTGGTATAGTAGAATACATACTAATGAATGAGAAATGAAAATTATAAAAAGAAACTACCTTTTTTATTTTGTTAATCAAAAAACTAGATCTTGTCGCTTGCATTTTTATCTCTCTCTCTTTCTCTCGCCTTTTTTTTATGTTGAAATCAATACACATACATGTATACATGTTTTTGGTAAAATTTCATTGAAGAATATTATTTGAACGACGTTTTTTTTTATTGTATTTGATATACAAGTTACATTTTTATCAACCATTTAGAAATTAGCCATATTGGAAAAGGCAGTCATCTTGAATTATGTTAGCCATTTTGAAATTATTAAGTTATTACAAATGTAATGTTACAGACGATTACGTAAAAGAAAAAGAGGGAGAGAAAAATACACACACATTACATTACACATATATTAATACAAAAATTTCGTCTTTTATCTCAGATTAGTCTAAGAAATAATTAGACAAATCAAAAACAAAAAAAAAAAGGATAAAGAAGAAAAGAAACGTGTACATACGATTTGTAAATAGCCATATTATTGTGGTATCAATACACTATATGTATATGTATATGTATATACATTATTAATACTAATCCATATACATATATATATATATCTATATAAGAACATACATTGATTCTGTAATATCGTTACGTTGTTGTACTATATTATTGCGAACACCATTTCTCAGACATCGATTTTTCTAAATAAAAAGGTAAAAACTTTTCTCTTTCGAGACACGGCGTTATAAAAAAAAAGAATAGGAAAAAATGAAAGAAATGAACAATAAGAATAAAAATGTATCATAGATAAAAGTCTCCGTCGCAGAATTCCATCGGCCGAATGAAAAGTTAGAAGTTCAACATTTTTACTTTTTTTTTCCCCACCCTGATTAATAATTAAAAATTGTTTTTTCTCTTTTCGAACAAGAAAAATTTCTCGACTATTCTCTTCTTTCACAAACTTTTTACACGCTCTCGAAACTTGTCGATTCGACGCATTGTCAGGTTAGAAAGAAAAAAAAGAAATGAATCTAATCGAACTCCTTCTCATATTCTCTTCTTCCTAAAAAAAATATATCAAAGACAAAAAAAGAAACGACTATTATTAAAATATATTACTGTGAATGGAATTTTGAAGAAGAACAAAAAATACGAGATCGAACTTATTTTTTTCTTTTTTCACTAAATAAGAAGACAAAAAATGATGAATTACGTTAAAGGAAGAAAAAAAAGAAACAAGAAAATTCGGTGCCTCACAAAACGTTGTAGCAACGAGCCTTTGCCAGACTGATCCGATCGACATTTTAAACAAAACAAAAAAAGTAACCAACCAAAATCGAACCTACGATAAAAAAAAAACACAAGAAGGAAAACGAAAAAAAAAAAAAACAAAAACGAAGAGAAAACTCGAATCCGGTTTCGCGTTCTCTAATTAATTAATTAAAACAAATCTTAATAATTAAGGAACGTAATCGTACGATCATTAAATTATCGACTCGTACACAGGCCTGCTCATGCGATCGAGCTCGAAATGAAACAATTATTAAACAAAAATATAATCATAATCATTTCTTTTTTCTATAACCAAAAACAGTTTGTGCCATCGTTGATTGATTATTGTATTTACTCGTCGACATTTTTCATTTCATTTCTTTTATACAATTGTTTTCAAATATAATCATTTTCTATAACAATTTTCGATCTCGATCGCTTTAATTCTTGAATTATGTATAGTAATTCTTCTCTACGAACACACATACATACACACACACAGAAGAAACACATAAGCATTTAGTCTTAAACTAAACTTCAAAGAAAAAGAAAAAAAAAACTCCTCTTCTTAATGCAATACCTATCATTGTAAATAATTGTTTCATATTGTTGTATAAAAGTTAGGAACAAGCGATATAGAGAGAGAGAGAGAGAAAGAAACAAAACTATATATAATAATGAAAGAAAGAAAAAGGAAAGGAAAAGATATATATATATATATATATGAGATTGACGAATTGTATCATTCGAGTGATGAGAATGATTTATAAAAAAAAAAAGAAAGAAAGAAAAGAAAAACTTCTTCCCTTTGACTCCTATGATCCCTCCTCCCCTTCGGCCCAGACCCGCCCGAACCCCCTTTAAAAACCATAATGTAAGCGCACAAGGGTTAACGATCTATGTGTCTTCTTTGTGTTTAATCGTACATTCATTATTAAATCTTAAAACATCTATACAGTCGTGTTTGTATGTGTATTTGCCCGTAAAACCTCCCTGTATTTTATTCTTCTTAATATTTGATTAATATAATTAATATTATTACTATTATTATTATTATTATTACGAACGCAATTTATTCGAGTTTCTTTTTAAATATAAGAATTTGTTTTATTATTAACTTTCTACTATATAGTTCCTAGATATTACAGATAGTTGTTAATAAATTAATTGGAAAAATAATTTTATATTTAAATTGGGTAATGTGTACGTTACTTTTTCTTTTTCTCTTTTTTTTTTTCCCTTTTTTTTTTAATACGACACGTGTGCATTAATCCGATAGTTTATTTTTATGTGAAGTTCGTGAATTTTGTAGAACACGTTTGATCCTTTTAAATCTGGTCAAAGCTCCATTAGGATTATCTCGAAGACTCTGAAGACCACCGAAAGCTTCATTGTAATCCGTAATTAATCGTCTATTCGAATCCTTCGCCGACGATGCCAAAGCTCTCAAATCGGATTGGCTCTTTAATCGAACAACAAACAGAAAAAAAGGTTAACATTTTATATTAATTTTCCTTTTATTATTTCTCACACGCGTTGGTAACGAGAATTTCTCGTTAACCGATTGTAGTTAAAAATGATCGAGCAACGATATGCTAAACAATTTCTAATCGATCGAGAGTATGAAAAAAAACAATGAACGATTATAAAAATCTATATAACTGAAATTTATGAAATAAAAATTATTTGCGATTACAATTTTTGAAATCAAATTCCAGGGAAAAGAAAATTAGCCCGTTGATATTCATTCTCTTCTTGATCCTCGATCAACGAATTACTATTACGATCTTTCAAATTGGATGTTCTGTCTTCGAGACCATCGTCACCGAATTCATTGCCTTCGTCGTTTTCCTCGTCCTCGATATTTTGCGGCCTGTATTCAAAATTAATCAATCTTGCGTTAGCTCTTTTAATCCTTACCTTCTTCTCGTCAAGCGCTCGTTGATTTCTACGAAGTAAATTTGGATCAAACGTTAAATCGCGTTCCTCCTCCTCGTTCTTATTGACTTTTCTTTTTTTCTTCTTCCTACGTCTCTTGTCGCTGTCATCCTTAACGATAAACATTTGTCGTACCTTTTCGCGTTTTTTAACGGGCGACTTGTTCATAGAAATGTCATTATTCCTAATCGATTCTCCCTTAACGGATCTTTCTTCGGTTGCAAATCTTTTTTTAATATTACTTTCGCGAATCGATTCAGCAATTCGATAATCATCGTCTCTGAGATTATCAACACCTTCGATTTCTTCCAAACGATGCATAATTTTATCATTATCATTCGATGATGTTATTCTTCTTCTTCTTCTTCTTCTTACTCCTCCTCCTCCTCTTCCTCCACCTCTTCCTACTCTTCCTCTTCTTCTTCTTCTTTTTTCCATTTTTCTTTTAGGCCTAACTACAACGTCGGACGATCTTTTGGAAATTATTTTTTCATCGACATTAGAAATCTCCTCATTTGGGTTCTCTTGTTCTTCGTTATCCTTATTCTGAATTTCATCGAATTTGGCATTGTTCTTTTCGATTTCACGATCCCTACGTTTCCTTTCTATTTCACGTTTGATCTCTTCCTTTATCGAATCTATTTTACGTTTGATTTTTTCCTCTACGCGTTTCTCGTATTCCCCATTTTCTTCTTCCTCTTTAGTTAATTTTTTCTCGTCCGATAAATCTTCCTTTTTCTCATCCGATTCCTTGCTCTTATCTATGTCAATTTTGTTCGACGAAATTAATTCGTTGTTTTTCGGATTTTCATCCTCGAGTTTTACAATAGTCTTGTCGTTGGTCTGTTTAGTTTCGTCCCGTTTAACTCTAACATCGTTCGATGATTTATTATCCTGATCTTCAGCGTAATCGTAATCCGAACTTTCTCGTTTCATTTTCGCATCCTTGGATTGAACTACATTTTCTTGATCATCCGTTTCGTTGTCGTTGGATTCTTCGTTGTAATCTTCGAGCTCGTCACTTTCAGATTTTTCTACATTCGAACTTTGATCCCCACTGTCATCGTTATCAGATGATGATGATGATGACGATGATGAACGTTTATTGTTCATTTTATCATCAGTTTCATGTTCCTCGTCAAACTTTGACTGATTTTCATCTTCCAATGCATTTCTTTTTCTTCTAACACGCGTTGAATCTTCATAAATGATTGGTGTATTAGAAAAATATTCCGTGTTAACTGTTACATCCGATGACCATGTCGACGTTGCAAGATTATTCTCATTGGTATTAATAGAAATGTTGGATCGTTGAGTTCCTTTGAGTTTAGAATAATTATAGGAATTATGATCGTCCAATAAACGACGTCGTGGTATCAAATAATCCAAAGTTTTATTGAACAGTATCGCCATTTGTTCCTCGTCATTGTTCAATTGATTATTATTAAGCTCTTTATTGATCCTAATATATAAATCCGCGTAATGAATTATTCATTTTTACAGATATATTATTTAATTACTTACTTGGAAATATTATTGTATGATCTAATGAAAGGTTTGCTTGTAGTTAATTGGAATAATATTAATAGGATCAAGATCAAACTGTTAATTAGTTTGAATACTTCCAACATTGTGTATCAAATCATCGTTAAAAATTAAATCACTCTCCGAAAGGTTGATTATTTTGTAATTGTATAATTGTAATTTATTTATTATTAATTAATTCATATATTGTATGTATAATATATGTATGTATCTATGTATTTTTTGGTTATGTGTCGATTAATTTGACGTGTAGAAAATACTTTCACATTTTTGTTTTAATCATTTGCTGCGAAACAAAACAAAATATTTGATGCACATTGTTTTTTTTTAAGATCGATCTATCTCAAAATCATTTTTATTTTGTTTTTTATTTCAAATATCTTGGTATATGCAGTTTATATCGTACAATTAATATTTTACAATATATCTATTTATTTATTGCATTTTTCTTGACTATACAAAAATTGGATAACATTAACGACACATTTGTGCTATAATAATTTATTTATTAACGTCAGCGTTAGATCATGTTTCACGATTGAAACTTGATTAAGCTTCGTAAAAAGAAAAGAAAAGAAAAAAAATATTTAAAAAAATGAACGAAGGAAGTTTTTAAATAGAATTGACGATCATTATCTTAGTGAAACGGTTTATGTTTAATATTATAGATAATTTTATTGCTTATAATTAAATCTAATAATACAGGAATGGGGTTCCAAAGTTTTCATTCGGTTAGGCCAAAAATTGTTAAGAGATTTTCATAATTAATTACATTTCTTCGAGACATTTAAGATTAATTTTTGTAGGATTTAAAACAATCTCTCAGGCTTACAATTTTACGATATTTTTGAACAAATAATCCTAGTTAAAAAATATAACCCATTCCTGTATTGGCATACTACTGCACTGAGAACACACAGAGTATTAAATAAGAATATTATTTTTTAATTAATTTATATAGTTTTTATCTTTTATTATTTACTTATACTTACACGCACTGTATGTCACTGTGAAGTAATTAGGATATAATTTATTAAATTAATTGATTTATATTTTAAACATATCAAAATAAAAGGAATGATATAGTAATCATTTCTTTGACAATTCGCCTAACTTTAAATCTACGATTGCAATCGTATTGTATTAATTAGGGAGTCAAAGAAAACTTGTCTGTGATTAGATTAAAAATTATTTGTAATATCAAACAACATTATGCACTGCTTAGAATTGTAGTGTAAATTATTGAAATGACAAAAAATATACTGACCATATAAATTAAACAAAACCGTAATGACAATTAAATTAAAAAATAAAAGGAAGGAGAGGAAAAAAAGGGATACGAAATAAATAAAAAACATAATTGTGGATACACGTATGATATAATATAATTCAAAAATAAATTCATTGACAAATAATGAAGAAAGAAAAAGAAACTAGCATTCATTTGATTATCAAATAAACTAAAATAAAGAAAAGAAAAAAGATGATAATAAAAGCGTCGATATTACTGGAACAACAACAACAAAATATATAGGAGCAAGAAAAAAGTGGAATATATATTTGTTATATATTTAATATAAAAAGAAATATATATATATATGTGTGTGTATATATATATATATTTGAGAAATGGACGGTATATTTATCAAAAACAAAGAAATAATAGTAAACGTAGTCCATATAGAGATTAACCTAATTAATCGTACGATGTTTTAACTTCCTGTTAAAATCGAATCCTTATCACGCGGGTAACTATTATTATTTATTTATTTATTTATTTATTTATTTGTTTAAGCTCTAATTATTGCTTCGTAATACACGTTGGTTGAATTTTTCAAATTAATTCTCATTTATAATATGAATAATATATATATAATATATTTTTTATATTTCCCATTGATTTAAAAAGAAAATTTGTTCGAACAATTATAAATTGCAATAATAATCGTGTCAAATGATCATTCGTTTCCCTTTCGTTTTTTTTTTCTTTTTTACTCCCACGCGTCATCGTTTTAATAATAACAAATATATATATATATATATATATATATATATAGATATGTATATATATATTATAACAGATAAAGTTCAATAGAAAAAAATAGGTTTTTATCACAATCAATAATTATTTTTCACTTTGAATCAGCCCCCATCTAGTTTCGTACAAAATATGTCATGGATTAATTGGAGCACACCTTCGATTAAATATTCTGCAAATATTTCGTTGATTATTCGTGGTCATAGGTAAAAAATGATTATCTTAAATGTAATTTAAACAAAACAAAAAAAAAAGAAAAGACGAAAAAACCCCAAACACGCATAGTTTCTTTTTCAAAAACTATGCTGGAGAGATTCGTCGTAAACTCGAGAGAGTTTAATTGGAAACAACTGGCATGTAAAATTTGTGTTTAGGGGTGTCACGCGTATGTTTAAAGGGTGTTTGTTTGGATTCAATGAGGGATGCAGGACAGGGACCCTTGTGTTTTGGCGAGTATTCTTTTTTATACATGCTCGATGTAACAGCAGTGCCATCGCCTAATTTTATATGGGATACATTGGCTTGCCTGTGTACTCTTTCGATTTTTTGATTGCTCGCGAAGTTGCCATAAGTTTTGGCCTCGCTTTGAGAATAAAATTTACCACCGACAGTTAAATTATCCTGTCTAACGATTCTCTGAGGTCTCTCATAAGTCGAGGATGCCCAAGGATTGGCTTCCTTGTTGTTACGGTGCATCGAAGTGTAACTGCGTCTGTCGTTGCTTTGACTCGAGTTGCTTATGTATTGTCCACTCTCTGCTAAATTCGATAAACTCTTTTTCTGATCGGCAGCAGTCGAGGAAATTGTATGAAGTGCTTCGGTTGACGTTGTCACGCCACTGCGACGATGGAGGACAGAATTTGTTACATCTGTAGACGACGATGAAATGATATTTTTTCTATGATGCGACGTCTTGTGATAGGACGATTGAGATTCTTGAGTATTATCGATGACAGAAGATCCGGTGATTGCTTGTTTGAATTCCGAACTACTCGCTTGGTTACCATTGTATCTGGCTTGGCTAGAAATCGTGTGTTGTTCGTGTTGCTTAGTATTTCTCGTCTGACCACTCGTGGTCTGACGTTTATCAACGTGCATCGAATTAACGTAATCCCGTTTATTACTATCCTGAATCTGTCTTTGCGTATCTTGAATCTGTTTGCTATCTTTAACAATCTGGCCGTGACGAGATGATTGATGATCCATCGATCTGTCTTCTATTATACGTCGGGATTGAACTACATTTTGGGATCTGGAGTGTTGTTGTTCGTTTGATGAGTAGATTCTTTGCTGATGTTCGCTCAAGTGTTGCTGTTGTTGCTGCTGATGTTGTTGGTGATGATGATGTGTAGTATGGTGGCGTTGTTCGTTGCTAATTGCTGATACGTTACGACGGTCAATGATTGTCTGATGATGTGCAGTATGAGCTGAAGAAACACGTTGATCCGATTGAACCGATGTTGTTGTCTTTTTAACGTCACTGCCACTAGTCCAAGTGTCCGATCCAATATTACTGATGTGTGCGGCAACTTCTTTACCAGTACGTTTGGTATACGTGTTGTAATTCTTCTGATTGGTTGTTATCATGGTGCTAGTATCGTCACCTAAACTTATCGATGATTCCATATGACGTCTTCGACTTATTTGTCTATCACCGGTCGATAAATCCTTCTTGATTGGAGTGAACGTGTCCTTGTTCGTTGTCTTGGTCTCCATACTATCGGTACTGACTTTAAGATTATCCTCATGACGTTTAACCTCAGCACGTTCGCCACGGACTACGGTATAAGTCGACTTTTGCATGCTGGTGCCTTGGAAATCACCTGACATCTTCAAATTGTCTTCCCTTCTGATCACCTCGCTTCTTTCCCCGCGTTTCATCGTGTAATCCTCGCGTGAACGGCCTATAAAGTCGCCTTCGGGTTTCAAATTGTCCACGTGACGAATGGGCGAACGTCTTTCACCTGGTTTTATCTTTTCCGGCGTCCTACGCTCAAAATCACCTTCCGGTTTCAAATTGTCAGGATGTTTGATCGGTGATCTTCGTTCGGCCGGACCTACAGGACTCTTTTGAGGTCTGTCAAAGTCTCCTTCGGGACGTAAATGATCAGGTTGTCTTTTAACAGACACCCGATCACCAACAACGTAAGTGTAATCATCTTTTCTTCGAACATCCATGAACTCTCCTTCGATTTTCAAGTGATCCTCTCTTTTCTTGACATCCACTCGCTCAACTTTCGTAATCTTTTTGTAATCGTCGCGAGATCGTCTGACATCCAATTCACCTTCCATACGTAAATGATCCTCGTGACGACGTACTTCAATTCTTTCACCATTCGTATACTTGTAATCTTCTTTCGAAGTTTGTACGATGTGCATTTCACCTTCTGGTTTGAGATTATCTTGAGGCTTTTTCATCGGTGAACGTTCTACTTTCTGAGGACTGTAATCATCCTTCGGAACAATATAAAATTCTCCCTCGACGTGCAAATTGTCATCGTGTTTGATCAAGCCACGTTTCTCAGCTGGTTCCACTTTTTTCGGCGTACGTTTAGCGAATTCGCCTTCGGGACGAAGATTATCCTTGGGTCTCTTCACATCGGCACGATCCCCACGACTTGGAGTTTCTTTTCTAGGTCTACCAATGAACTCTCCTTCCGGATGAAGATTATCGGGATGTTTTATTGGTGTCCTTCTTTCGGCAGGTCCAACCGTTGTCTTTTCCGGCCTATCAAATTCACCTTCCGGTTTCAAATTGTCTTTAGGTTTCTTAATTACTGCACGATCACCTTTGCCAGGCGACGATTCTTTCGGTCTTTGAACAAAATCACCTTCTGGTTTCAAATTGTCTGGGTGTTTGATAGGCGACCTTCTTTCTGCAGGACCTACTAGGGTCTTTTCTGGACGATCGAAGTCACCTTCCGGACGAAGATTATCTTCGTGTTTAATAATTTCACTACGTTCACCACGCGTTACTCTGTAATCGTCTCGTCTTTTAATATCGACGAATTCACCTTCTACTTTGAGATTGTCTTCTCTACGAATAACATCCGTTCGTTCGATTCTCGAAGTTGTAACGTAATCGTCTCTCGATCTGTGTACGTGAATATCGCCCTCCATCTTCAAATTGTCACGGTGCACGACGATCTCCGATTTCTCTGGCCTGCCAGGTTTGTAATCATCTTTTGGTTTGCCAACAAATTCACCTTCCGGTTTGAGATTGTCTTTCGGTCTCTTTTGAACAGGACGTTCGGCACGTTTCGGCGTAAAATCATCCTTAGGTCTACCAACGAATTCACCTTCGGGATGAAGATTGTCTTCGTGTTTGATAGGCGTACGTCTTTCGGCTGGACCGACTGGACTTTTTTCCGGTCTCTCGAATGTTCCTTCAGGACGAAGGTTGTCTTTGGGTCTCGTGACATCGGCTCTTTCACCTTTACCAGGTGTTTTATCTTTGGGACGACCTACGAATTCACCCTCGGGACGTAAATTGTCCGGATGTTTTATCGGTGTCCTTCTTTCGGCAGGCCCAACAACTGTTTTCTCTGGTCTGTCAAATTCACCTTCCGATTTCAAATTGTCTTTCGGTTTTTTAATAACAGCGCGATCACCTTTGCCAGGTTTTACTTCTTTCGGTCTTTGAACAAAATCACCTTCTAGTTTCAAATTATCAGCGTGTTTTATTGGTGATCTTCTTTCGGCCGGGCCAACAGGCTTCTTCTCAGGCCTTTCGAAGTCTCCTTCTGGTTTCAAATTATCTTTCGGTTTCTTTACGTCAGCGCGTTCACCTTTCTTAGGTACCTGTTCTTTTGGACGACCAATAAATTCACCTTCGGGCTTCAAATTGTCATCGTGTTTAATGGGTGATCTACGTTCAGCTGGTCCAACCGATTCCTTCTCGGGTCTCTCAAATTCCCCTTCAGGTTTCAAATTATCTTCCGGTTTCTTGATCTCCGGTCTGGTCACTCTCTTTGGCGAATAATCATCCTTAGGCCGACCTTCGAAGGGACCCTCGATTCTCAGATTATCTTCGTGCCTGACAATGTCTACTCGTTCACCTCTGACAACTTTGAAATCGTCTCTGGTTCTTACATCGGTGAATTCACCTTCCATACGTAGATTATCCTGATACTTGACAACCTCGGCACGTTCGCGTATCATAAAATCAGTGTACTCGTCGCGAGATCTGTAGGTTTCTATGTCTCCTTCCATTCGAAGATTATCGGTACGTTTTACAACGTCCACCCGTTCACCACGAATTGTTACATAGTCATCTTTAGGACGACCTTCGAACGGACCTTCGGGTTTAAGATGATCCTCAGGTTTTTTAACATCAGCACGTTCACCTTTGGTAGGTTTAAAATCATCCTTAGGTCGACCAATAAAATCTCCTTCGGGTTTAAGATTATCCGGATGTTTGATAGGCGTACGTTTTTCGGCTGGTTTGACTGGAGACTTGACGGGTCTATCGAATTCACCTTCCGGGCGTAAATTGTCTTTGGGTTTCTTAACGTCAGCTCTTTCCCCGCGTTTCGGTGTATCTTCCATAGGTTTACCTTGGAAATCACCTTCCGGTTTCAAATTATCAGGATGTTTAATTGGTGTCCTCTTTTCAGCAGGACCAAACTTCTTTACCTGTGGTCTATCAAATTCGCCTTCAGGTTTAAGATTATCTTTAGGTTTCTTTATCTCTGGTCTCTCTGCTGGCCTAAATTCTTCATGTTCAGGACGTTCGAAATCACCCTCTGGATGGAGGTTATCCTTTGGTCTTTTAACTTCAGCTCTATCACCTTTCGTTGGTGTCTTTTCTTTAGGTCTCGATACAAATTCACCTTCGGGTTTGAGATTGTCCGGATGTTTGATGGGAGATCTTCTTTCGCTCGGACCAATTGGAACTTTTTCCGGCCTATCGAAATCACCTTCTGGATATAGATTGTCCTTTGGTCTTTTGATGTCAGCTCTGTCACCTTTTGTTGGCGCCTCTTCTTTAGGTCTCGATAAAAATTCACCTTCGGGCTTAAGATTGTCCGGATGTTTGATGGGAGATCTTCTTTCGCTCGGACCCATTGGAACTTTTTCCGGCCTATCGAAATCACCTTCTGGATGTAGATTGTCTTTTGGTCTTTTGACGTCAGCTCTCTCGCCACGTTTAGGTACTTCTTCTTTCGGACGACCAATAAAATCACCTTCCGGTCTCAAATTATCTTCAGGTCTTTTAACTTCTGGTCTCTCAGCACGTTTAGGTGAATAATCATCCTTAGGTCTTCCCTCAAATGGCCCTTCCGGTCTCAAATTATCTTCAGGTCTTTTAACTTCTGGTCTCTCAGCACGTTTAGGTGAATAATCATCCTTAGGTCTTCCCTCAAATGGCCCTTCCGGTCTCAAATTATCTTCCGGCCTTTTTATCTCCGGACGCGAAGCTTTTTTCGGTGAGTAATCATCCTTGGGACGGCCTTCGAATGGTCCTTCGGATTTGAGATTATCCGGGTGACGTATGATATCTGCTCGATCACCTCTGACCACTTTGAAATCGTCTCTGGTTCTGGTATCAGTGAACACACCTTCCATACGAAGATTGTCCTCGTATTTTGTAACTTCAACTCGTTCACGGATAAGGAAATCAGTGTAATCGTCACGAGACCTGTAGGTTTCAATGTCTCCTTCCATCCGAAGATTATCGGTGCGTTTGACAATGTCAGGACGATCAGCGCGAACTGGAACATAATCGTCTTTTGGACGGCCTTCGAAGGGACCTTCAGGTTTGAGATTATCTTCTGGTCTTTTGACGTCAGCTCGTTCGCCTTTCGTTGGTCTAAAATCATCTCTGGGTCTACCAGTGAAGTCACCCTCGGGTTTAAGATTGTCCGGGTGTTTGATTGGCGAACGACGTTCAGCTGGACCAACTGGGGATTTTTCCGGTCTTTCAAAATCACCTTCTGGCCGTAAATTATCTTCAGGGCGTATTACTTTAGGYCTTTCTGTGCGTTTCGGTGAATAATCATCTTTTGGACGACCCTCAAATGGACCTTCCGGTCTTAAATTATCTTCTGGACGTTTCACATCAGCTCTGTCACCACGAGTTGGTTTATAATCGTCCCTAGGTTTCCCTTCGAATACACCCTCGGGTCTCAAGTTGTCTTCTGGACGCTTKACTTCTGGTTTTTCAGCACGCTTTGGACCGTAATCATCTTTTGGACGTCCTTCAAAGAGCCCTTCTGGTCTTAAATTATCCTCAGGCTTCTTAACTTCTGGTCTTTCCGCACGTTTTGGACTGTAATCATCTTTCGGCCTTCCCTCAAATGGTCCTTCAGGTCTTAAATTATCTTCTGGTCTTTTAACATCAGCTCTCTCGCCTCTGGTTGGCATGTAATCGTC